TTATCTAAGATAAACGGCCAGTTGGCCAGTCATAACTCTTTTTTTTCTTTTTTACAAATTTATAGACACTGTCTTAACAGAGTGACTTAATATTGTAATTTATTATAACAAAATACACTACTCATAATAAAATTCAGCAAATTCCGGTAAAGAATCTGTACTGCAGGATGTTTTCCTTCAATCTTTTTTGTATCAATATCACTTCGCGTGTAATTACTTTTTCTTTTTCTTTTACCATTGTACATTTATATCACATATAATGTACATAATAGATAAAACGAATTTCAAAATAAATCATATAAATTGTAAAAGATTGTATATCAACATGTATAAAGATACATACTTTTTATAAAGACACAAATACAAGATCTCAAATACAAACAGGTAGCTAGCAATTCAACCTGTAAATATTCTGAGACATCTTTGAGTACTTTGTTATTTTTAAGTAATGAATTTATATATTTACCGAACATGCACGAAAATAGAAACGTATTAATAAAAAATTTCGACAAATCTTACAAATTATCCATTTTACGTTCAAAAAAAATAACATCAAATAGGTAGCTTAGTAATAAATTCATGAAAATGTAGGAAATTAACTAAAGAGAGAAACCAATTACGTATTAGAATAAAATCCAACATCTGAATGTAAGACAAATCGCCTTTTTTTCTCCCGTTTCCTCCCTTTATGAGGTGATAAAATGAATCGTTGTTCATTTTTTGTTTTCATTTTACTTTTATATTATTTCGGCCCTTGGTCACCATCCATTTTCAGATTATTATCATTTATAATTATTGTTGTCACATTAGTCTGAATTTGGCAAACGTTTACGACCATGTTTACAATAGTAATCTCGAAGTGTATGGACTAAAAACAATTGTAGATTACAATTTGGATAATTAATAGCCCAATCTCATTAGCTGCTCAGGTGCATTATTCTTCTATGGCACCAGGAATACGTTGACATCTTTCCTGGTTGAATCCACGCGTACCATCAGGTCCTCTTGGTTGCCTGACCACAGTTAATTTTGGACCTGAATCTTCCAGCGATGTAGTACGTAATCGACTTATTAATCGCTCGGGTCGTTGCTGGATTGTATCGCTGTAAGCAATAAAAATTTGTAAATAAAATTACACTGCCATTAGTATAAAAAAAATATATAAAATTAATTTACCTTAATCGAGTTACGTTGCATGCTGACGATTTGCCAGTGCGTTGATTAGTAACCAAAACGAATTCTACCTGATCTCCCGGCTGCAGCGTAACATGATCTCGAACTTCACTTACATGGAAGAATAATTTTCTGCCCTCATCGACTTCGTAAGCGAGAAAGCCGAAAGGACCTTTCATCGCGTCTACAGTAGCTCTTCTTTTTTTCCTGACAGCTACGATATTACAAGCATGACCTGCTGAATCGACCTGTAATTGTACAGGATCGCCAGCCTGCAATAGCTCCCGTTTGTTAGAAAGTCCCATGATTCCGAATTCATATTCTGGCGTCTCTTCATCTTCATTAATTGGATTAATCTTGATCAAACCAGCGTACTCGGCTTGCTCGGGATTTGCACTTCGCAGTGGTCGCACTACAGTACCGTCAAGTACCTCACTAACAGGTGTTGGCCTGGGAATACTTCCGCGAGATACCAGTTTAACATGATCAGCAGCTACACAACCTCCAGAACCTCTTCCATTGCTTGAACTACTAATTGTACATTCGATATCGGCTCCTAATTCCAATGTACTAGCGTCGCCTTCAAAATTACTGCGAATAAAATGTTATTTTATACACATATATATGTATGTATATATGTATGCATCGTTCGTAAAAATTAAAGTATATCTCTCACCTGTAGTGAAAAAATATTTCTCTATCATGATTTACTGTCTCAATAAAGCCAAACCCGTCTTTAAGGGCGGCAATAAAACCTTGACATACTTGTCCATTTGATTTTTTGTTAACATTTTGAATTTTTTCACCAGCGGCATTTACTAAAAATATGTCTTCAGCAACAAGTTCTTTATTTCGTTTCACTTGAACAATATTGAACATTACCTATAAAGTTAAATAAATATTTACAGCAAAACACATATAGAACAAGTGTTTTTAAAAAAAAAAGGGACTGATTTTATATAAACTTTATATTAATTCACCTTATCACCCAATTTTGGAATATGTTTAGGGTCGCAATCTTTGGAGAAGAAAATAATGCTTTTTTGCTGGCCATAATTAATGAGGCCAGGTTCCATCGAATTTGTGTCTTGTGCTACAGTGCCTAATATATCTTTCTCTATAATAGTTTGAAATGTTACAGTACCCATTGGCAAATGTTTCAGTCTAATAGCACTTTGTCGAGTATTAGAGAATGATGATG